TGCTCCCCCGCCCGCCCCCCTGCCATGGGCATCCGGCTGCCTGGCGGCATCCCAGGGCGCTAGTGGGGAAGAGGAGAGAGGAAGAGCATGGTTATGTGTTGCCCTGCAAGGGGGCCTGACCTTTGCTGGGGACCAGCGGGTACCATCCGCCCTCTCCCTTCTCCCCCAGGAGAGATTGCGAGGCTGTTCCCTGCTCTGAGGTGCAGGTGAAGGGTGGAAGGAAGGACATCAGGACCTGCGGCCTTCCTCACTGCTGGGAGAGCAATGGGAAAGCAGAACCGGGCTGAGCAGAAGCCACAGACCGCAGGGGAAGCCCAGCCGCCAGCTGGCACGGAGCCCCAGGACACCAGACCCGGAGCCGTGCGAGACCCCATCGCCGAGACCCGGAGCCGTGCGAGCCCCCATCGCAGGGGCACTGCCTGCAAAGCCTTCCCACTGGGGACATCAGGGCTGCGGTGTGGGTAGTGCCGTGGGTTCCTCTCCGGAAAGCGCCAGTGCTGGCAGGCGCAATGCCTGGGAGGGAAGCAGGGCAACCCCACTTCCTAACGGCACCGGTCACGAGGCCGGCAGGCAGGAAGGAAGCCAAGCTCCTGGGCGCAGGGGATAGAGACAGGACCTCAATCCTTGCCAGCATGCCAGCTCCTGTCCCTCCCCCTCCAAAGACCCAGAAAAGGCATTTGTGAGCCACAACACAATAACTAACCACCCTTGCAATGGGTCCCGACCCAGGGCAGCAATCAGCCCCTGCCCAGCCCTTGGAGAAGAGCAGTTTGGCAAGCCAGCACACGGATGCCACCAGATCTACACCCCAGGCACCCCCCCAGACCCTTGACCATTGGTCACAGCACCCCATGAGCCCCTGGCCGCCCCTAACGTGCTCCAGCCTGCTTCAGCGGCAGTCTGAGCCAACAGCCTCCCAGGATCCTTTGATCCGCAAGCTCCTGCTGCCAAGATGCGAGGCTGGGAGAGCCACCAAGCCAGCAGAGCAACATTTCTCCCCTGCCGCAGGCTCCTTGACGTGCCAGGACATCCTCCACGGCTCCTCTCCTGCTGCCCTGAGAACAGAGTCAGGGCACACGGCCGTGCTGCGGAACAGAGCTAACGAAGCCGCCTTGTTATCCCAAAGGAGTCCAGCAAGGCAACGCTGCAAGCTGATGAGCTTATCCGCATACAGGCATTAATTTCAGTACAATCCCTGCATGCGGGAGGGCTGGGAGCACGAGACCATCGCCCGCAGCCTGCCTGTCCTCTGCAGCTTTTACCAGCAGGCTCGGAGCTGCAGTGGGGAGGATGGCTTGACGGTGGCTGGAGCCAAAACCCACTCACCTCCTATCCAAAGAGCTAGTAAACACAAACCCAAGAGCTCGAGTTGTTCCTGCTCTAGAACCCAAGGCCACAGCTGTCTTTGCAAGCAGGAGATCCCAAAAACATACCAACCACTGCACTGGGAAGCACACTGCAGCTGGGGAGTCAGGCAGCAGCAGGCCATGGGATTAGTGTCACACGTGGAGGTTCAGAAACACGCACATGACATGTGCAAAGCCCGTTACGCAACCAAATGCTGCCTCCACCTTTGCCAAGCCTTCCTTCGAAGCAGCACCTCCAGTGCTTTGGCTTGCTAATCTGCCCTTGCTACAAGGCAGGGGCTCGTTTCTTCCTCCTAACAGCCCCCAGATGTTTCTCTCCTTCCGACGGGCCACGTTTGCGCAACTCCTCGTGACAAGCAGGACTGTGCCGGCATCGCCAAGAGCCGACTGCAGCCAGCAGCACCTCCTCTTTTGCCAAGAACACAAGGCAAGAACCCAGTTTCTCCGAGTTTATCACAAAATCCTCCGTGGCAGGGCCAGGAGAAGATGCAGCACTGAGATCCACACCTTGTGCAAAACTAAAAACCACAGGTACTGAGCAAATGCTGTTTGGCAGTGCAGTGTGGCTGCAGGAGGGCTGCGCTCCCATAACTGGGCTGACTCGCCTGCAAGGGCTTCTGGAGAACCGAGAAGCCACAAGAAGCTACTGCAAGACTTTTAATCAGAAATTCAGGAGCCCCAAGAAAAGCTGAGTAGTGCTGAGGCTGCAAGCAGTCACCTGCAGCTCCCCAGAGCTACCAGGAGCATGGAGAAGACAGACGGATTTCAGGGAGACCCCTGTCCCCGGGTGCTGCTCAAGCCCAGACAGGAGACAGTGATCAGTGCCACAGGGAAATGTCTGAAGGCCAAGAGGTTCCCTACATGACCATGTACGAGAACAAACCCCTTCCCCGTGTGTGCTGACCAGGGAATGCTGTCAGCAGCTTGCGTGGAGTAAGGTGATGTGGCCACAGCCAGCTCCCATCCTTTGGCCAGGGCAGCTCCCAGCACCACCATGCCCATGTGAGAAGTCTCTCACACCTCTTTCTGCCAATCCATGGGTCACACTTCTGATTGATCCCTAAAATGAGAGGTTTGGAAGCTGGCTGAGAGCCTCTGAGAGCTCCACATCAGCGACAGCACCTTGTGCAAGGTCTCCCATGTGTCCACCTGCTCTTCAGAGGGTGAGAGACCGCTTGGTTGCAAGAAGAGGAGACAATGCTGTTGGCAGGGAGAGGTTCAGCACAAGGATGAATGGATCTGTCACACCTGGGGCTTTAACATCACCTCCACCAACATCTGAGACCCATCAGCCACAGCTCAGCTGCCAGAGGAGCAAGTTCCAGCTCACCAGGGACCCGCATCTGATTGCTTGGACGGGCAAAAAAAGGGAAAGCAGAATTCTCCACACAGATGGTTTTACTTCTCCTCAGTTTACCCTCAAGATTTGCAGATTGCCAACAGAGAAGCCCCTTGGCAAAGCAGGGCCAGCCTCTGCCTTGTGTTCAACCAGCGACTGCATCCCCGTCCAGGGGGACCTTGACCC